TCGGGAAATTAAATTGTCAATGCTCTCAATCCAAGTGTGGGTAGCACTACTTACTTAGATACTTGGCATGGCTCATTAGAACCTTATTCTAACCACATAGCTAAGGCATTTAAAGACAAAAAGTGGGGAAAGTACCTATGAAGCTTGCATAAGGCTATGGTGTTTCAAAATATTATTCCAAAGTTCCACACTATAGAAAGGAAGAGGAATAGTCCTTTTGTGTAATGACCAAGATGCAATCATATGGCAAGGAAGTCCTAGAGGTCAATAAAACATACCTTTATACCCTAACTTAGTGGTAATGTTAGCGAACATGGCTAGGACAGAAAGGGACATGGTGGGGATCAAAAAAGGGATGTTCGGGAAAGTTATTTCTCATATCTTTGGGCATTCTAAGTATGTTAAAAAGTGGTTCTAGGATGACCATTCATAGACGAATAGTCTAGTCTTTGAGAGATAGGATTATAGCATGGGTGGTCTAAGACTACCTTTGAGGTGTCAATCATGAAATCAAATACATAGAGCACTTGGACCAAGTGCAAATGTTGAATGGCATAGATGCTATTTATGAAGCTAATAAGTCCCTAAGTCCGGAACACGACTTATAGAGGTTATGAGTGAGATTCCTCCAAGTGGTTGGAGTTGTGGTTAAGTGACTAAAGTAGAATAGAAAATTTAGTCACTTAAAATTTGGTATTAGAGTTATTCCTTAATCTAACTTTTATTGGTGGTAAAGTATATTACCATTTATATTGGCATCAAGAAGTCCCAGAAGTGGGTCTATCCTCGAGAAGTAGCATCTGTAGAAGGCATGACTCTCCACTTTAGTTTATACGTGAACATGTATGCAATATGGTGGATAAAAAAGGGGTCAATAAAAGAATAATTTTGGGATATTAGGAACAATATAAGATTTTCCTTAGAGAGTTGAGGATGTGATTCAAATAAACATTTAACTTAGCAAACTGGTTAATATAGTTATGGTAAATAACTATAGTTGGGATTATGGGAAGGATGAAGACTTCGAGACAATAAAAGAGTCATAAGATTATTCTCATATAATTAAGGATAGTACTCATGAATTTGAGATGAGAATTAATGACCGTGGTGTAAGTTCTTGAATTTGAACTTCCCAGGATGTTACCCAGCTTAGTACTATTCAAACCCAAGGACACTTAACCCTAAATATTCTAAGATTTTTAACTAATTAGAAAAGGGGGTGCACTTTTATTCATGGGCCCTTTCCCTTTATATTTGAATTTTTATAAGTCGTCTCTCAAATCGTTCCTTTTGGTTACTTACAATCCACCACGTTTTCTTGCAAGTTCACGCCCTTGTGAACAAAAGCTGAGAGCTACAGCTCTTTTGAGAGCCCCACTCTCTTGACATCCTATCCCTTATGTCGAGCTCAATAGGAGCAAATTGGATCTACTAGATGTCAATCAACACGTGCAATTTCTTTAGCGAACCAACAAAGTCGGACCTAAGACCTTTCTAATACCAAAAGTAAGTTCTTGAATTTGGACATTTTAGGAGGTCACCCAGCCCAGTATTATTCAAACCCAAAGACGCTTAACCCCAAATATCCCAAAACTATTAATTAATTGAAAAAGGGGGTGCACTTTTATTCATGGGACTTTTTTGAACCCTTATGTATCGTCTTTCGAGTTGTTCCCTTTGGTTGCTTACACGTAGGAGGTCAAATATGGAAGAGGACACAGATCCTTGAAATGGTAACTAAAGCTACCTTTAACATGCTGAAACAACTTAAAGAGTTAGGGGTGTATTTAAAGGATGAGTTAGAATTCTCGTCATTTAGACAAATAGTCCTATGGGGGAAAGGAAGTACACAGGGAACAAAGAATAATCAAATGTTGGAGTAATATTTGTAAAGATAGTTCTTATGAGTAAAACATAATACAAGAAGTTATATTCTAACAAACTAAGACTTCAAAAGTAGCCATAAAACTAGGATGTTACAAATTGTCAAATTAGCAAAGTCTAAAAGTTTGATGACTCAGTAGAGTCAAGGGATGATCCTAAAAGTTATCTCATTAATGGCAAAATGTGCCATACTAAAGTCATCGAAATGTGTTTACAGAAGAAAGCAACTTTGGTGAGGAATTGTGTGTAAACATTGTGTTCAAGTGTTAGTTGATAGTTGGCATAAAAAACAATTACTATTATCTTGGCAAAGACCTAGACACAAGTAGAAAGTGTCATAAGGGTATACTCATAAACTGATGGTTTTAAAACATTATATATGCCAAGGTGTGATGCCTTGAGGTCAAGTTAGTGGGTTTATGAGAAAGGAATTGCAATAGAAACAGGAATGATATAACCTAAGCTATAAGGCATATGGTTAAAGTGTGGTGACCTAAATAATAATGGAGGTGTGGAAGTACTAGCAATAATGACATTTCTTTTTACTAGAAAACTCTTATAAATATTACTATCATAAATAGAGTTGTGTGGAATTTCTTAGTTGAAAAGAATTGGATCTAACACCTCTAACTGTATAAAAAGGTCTTTTAGAACATCCTCCTATGTGATCTATTTCAAGAAAGTCACTTTCCAAAGTTGTTATGAGCATTTTTGGAATCATAAGAATCTCACTTAGATCTTTTGCCTCCTTGAATATAGTGATGTATAGTGGATAGAGAAGTTGAGCAATAAAGTTATTTAGTCAGTGTGCAAAGAAATCAATTATGTTGCATCACAAAGGTTAAGACTCATTTATCATGTAGATGTATGATTTAGATTGTTATAAAGATGTAAGTTAACTCACATCCTTAAAAGCCAAAGCTTAGCTTTTGGCATTAAGGATTATCACTTCCTTACTCAATTTACAATTGGTTATTCTCAAAGTCAAAGAAGCAAAATATTGCATTTAGCTATAGCCTAACTAACTTCTTTTGTGTAGAGGCTCCTAAAGTAGAATAATTCATGATAAGGAAGTTTACTATCAACTCATACCCATGCATTAGAATGTGAATATCTCACCAAATCCCCACGAAAGCCCCTGTGTGATCTATAAAGGTCTTAAAGACAACCTTTGAATACTCTTTGATCTTAAAGGTGATTTATTGAGCTAATGTTTAGGAAAGGATGGTTATGGCTGAGCTAGAGTCGACAAGTGTCTCCATATCAATACCTACAATCATTACCGGGATGATGAATGCACTCTGATCAAGAGCAAAAATGGCTTTAATGATCTGAATGGGAGTTGTGTCTAAAGCTAGAGAGGAAGTCACACCACTTAGAGCACATATTAAAGTCTTAAGTTACTGCCAAAATCCTAGGAATTGGTGACGAAATGCACTGATGCACGATTATTTCCTAGTGGTGCTTCCATGCTCTTTATTGAAAGTGTGTGACCGTGTCCCACATTGAGACCTTCGCGGCACTGCCGTCTGGGAAAGACTTTTCTTT